GGAGACCTTGTCGAGTCTGGGTAGCTAGCACTAAGCAGTGCTGGTCTCCCACAGGGCTGCTGCCGGCACCCCCTCGACTCTCTGCTGACAGCCCCAGGAGTGGAGAGGGGCTGGGGGCCATATGTAGTGTATTTATGTAAGACATCTAAACGAGGGCACGGGTATTTATATAACCCAGTGTGGGTATTTATGTAATATAGAATGCAGAGATATTTATGTTCCTTTTCCTAACCTGCGGCTGTGTGTGGTCTCTGAATTGGTGTTGGGAGGGCGGCTGGTGTACCCCTGCTTTCCTTTCTTTCCTTGGAGTATACACACTCGGGCGGCAGACTGGTGTGTGGCGGCAGACTGGTGTGTGGCGTGTGGGTTTCTTGCAAGTGTGGAGTGTGTGCTGCTGGCAGGGACTGGCCAGGCGCGTGGGCAAAGGCCCTTGAAGGAGAGCCAGAGTTGGGCTGGCACCCCATGGAGGCTACTTCTTTTGTGGCTAGGGGGTAAAGGGCTGGTGGTCCTCCTACAAGCCAGGGCCTGGGCCGGAGTTGTTGACCCCTTGGCCCAAGTGGGGTTTCTGCCTAAGCTCCCATCCCCCTTCCCAGTTTGGCCTGGCTTGGGGAGTGTGCTTGGCTAGGCAAGGGGCAGATCATTTGCCTGGTACAGCTGCTTTTCCGTCATCCTGTTTTGCCTCGTGGCCCTGGTGGAAGGCTCTCAGGTGGGGCTGCAGAAACCTTGGGGCCTTGGGGGCACTCTGCCCTATCTTGCTACTGGGTGGTGTGGGGCCAGTGTCATGACCTCTCTGGACTTCACCACCCTGTTTTTAAAAGGATAGCCTTCTAATAAACACTCTGGGATTTAGGGATCCTGGGTGTCCCTCCTTATTTCTGAATCTGCTGATCCCTGTTACCCCAACTGCAGAAACCCTGGCCGGCCTTTAAATCTCTTCTGTTGGCCAAGAGTAAAAAGACCCAGACCTTTGCTTCAGGCCTAGCAGAGGTACATCTCCCAGGTGGCCCATGGTCTTAGGCACCCAAGAAGGGAAGTGGCTCCTTCTCTAGTCTTGAAGGACGATGTCATGGTATCATGAGGTAGAGTGGGCAGATGAGTGGAAGGTGGCTGTTCTTGGGGGTTGCTTTCCTGACTGCCTTCTGGATGGGGATGAGGCCTCTCACCTGCAGGGCATGATGGTACCCTGTGAGGTCTGACCTCTGGGTCCAGGGGACTCTTGGGAGAACCAGGCCAGGCTGCAGAGGTCTTGGCTGCAGAGGCTTGGGGATGGGGGTGAGTGGTGGTTTCAGTCCCCTTTGGGACCCTTCCCTTCAACTTGTCCTCCCGTTGCTGGAGGTTGGGGTTCGTTTGTGGTTGCCATGGCAATGCCTCCAGACTGGTCAGTTCTTGTCTCCCTCTACCTCTCCTACTCCTCATCCTCTTTTGTCCTTGATTTGGCTGTTCAGGGTCCTAGCCCCTTGGGGTTTGCTTTCTCCTAGAGAGGCTGCTCTTGGGAGAGGTCCCCCGGTTGAATGCCCCCTTCCTTGTCCCCAGTTCTACATTCTGCCTGGCTGAGCTGAAACCTCTTTTAAACCAACCCCAGCTCTCCTCTGCCTGATGTCTCCTCAGAGCATCCTGACACCTGGTTGCCCTCAGGCCACATCCCTGCCTAAACACTGGGAGCAATGATGGCCGGTTCCTTGTGGCTTCTTCACCTGGCCTCTGGTGGGAAGGGATGGGGCCCAGTATACTTGTCCTCCTCCATAGCACCCCACTTCTCTAACCCCAGTATCTGCTTCCCTCCGCAGTGCAGCAAGTGAAACATGGAGCTACGTGTGGGGAACAAGTACCGCCTGGGCCGCAAGATTGGGAGTGGGTCCTTTGGGGATATCTACCTGGGTAAGTGTTGTGGCACCAGTGAGATCGAGATCGTGAGATCGTTGTTGGGGCCCTGGGACAGCCCTGGGGGCAGGGAGGAGGAATGATCTTAAGATCTCAGGATCTGAAGCTGGGGCTTGGCTCTGGGGCTCTGGGGGCCCATTTGACCCCTGTTCCCAGGGCCATCCCTGATAGAGAAGGAAGCAGCAGGTTGGGGTGCAGCTGATTGTAAGGTTCCTCTCACGGGCCGGGTGGGAGCTTCTACTTGCTGGCCTGGATAGGAGGGTATTTTTAGCTCTAGAGCTGCGGTGGACCTGGGTGTCCAGCAGGGCGTGGGAATGCCCCCGGGTTAGCCTCCTGTCCCTTGACTTTTGGGAGAAAAACCCTATACTACTTATTCCCCAGCCAGGCCCCGCCCTGTGGTCTGGCCCCCTGGAATTTAGCCCTGGAATGACGCAGGCTCCCAGTGGGCTTTTCTTCTTTGGAGGGATCTCCATCTCCCCGGATGTGCTTCCTGTTAAAAATCTTGAGTTCACTCTAACATTGTCAGTTTTAAAATTTTGCTGACCACTCACTCCTCTCCTTGGCCTGGAAGAAGTGTGGTTTGTGCCTTGGAATGCCATTTGCTTAGGCAAGACGTCAGCGGGTTAAGGGACATTGTCAGGAGCCCACAGCCTGCCCTTTGCAGTTGTGGATATGGGAGACTTGGATTAGACTAATAGCTGGAAAGTTGGTGCTTCAAACCCACCCAGAGACATCTCAGAAAACAGTTTTCGGAAAGATCGCAGTCCTGAAACCTTGTGGAGCAGTTCTCCCTTGTACACGTGGGGTCTCCATGAGGGTGGGGGCTTGGTGTTGTTAGGGCAAACCCCCCGGGATTTACTCTCATTTCTGTCCCTGAACCCTTGGAAAAAGGAGTTCTGGTGGATTAAGGGTTGGGCTACTAGCCTCAAGGTCAGCTGTTCAAACCCACCATCAGCTCTGTGGGAGAAAGATGAGGCTGCCTACTTTCGTCGAGGTTTGTACTCTCGGAAATTGTGTGAAGCAGTTCTGCTCTGGGGTAGCTGTGAGGTTGCTTTAACTCGGCAGCAGTGGATTTGGTAGTAGGCACCGTTGGAAGCAGACATGGGCTACATCTGTGCCTCTGTTTCCCTCCTTGGAAAATGAAAAGTTAGTTCTGCCCTGGGGCATTTCTCTGACCCCCGGGGTCAGGCCGTATGAAATCTGTGTGTGGGTCTCCTTGACACCCATGTCCCCACATGCAGGAGAAAAGGGCCAAGAGCACGTAGCGCTCTTGTAGAATGTGGGCTCCTGTCACCAAGAGACAGTGCTGTGTGATCCCATTTCACATAGCAGGAAAAGAAGGGCAGCGAGGTTGAGTGGGCAGCCCAAGGGCACACTGCCTCAGACTAGAAAAGCCCACTTTGTCCTCACAGGCCCGCACACAAGTGAGAAGATGAAGATGGCAGGGTAGGGGACAGAGATGTCCAACGGACCCAGGGTCTAGACTGGCTTGGTGTGGCTGCTCTGTCTCAGTGTCCCCATCTTTAACGTTAGTGTGATGACAATGCCTGGCTATCCACAAACTATGTTATGGACGTGAAGCAATTTTGAATGCCAGCCGGGAGGGCAATTGTTAAGGCCATCACAGACCAGCCTCTGCTCTGGACACCCCGAAGCTGGGAATCCAGGCCGTGGCTTGCCTACACTGGGTGTCAGTGAAGGGGGGATGTGAGCCTCGGTCCTGCAACGGGCAAAGATGTGTGAGCGGTCCAGCTTCCTGGCAGAGAAAAGTTGGGGTGTGGAGACAGGTCTGACTTCAGGTCCCTGGTCTGTCTATTCCTCATTTGTTGAATTACCCAGCAGCCCTGGTGACATTGGGTTGCTAGCTACAAAGCCAGTGAGTGATTCAAAGTTTCATGGGAAGAAGATGAGGCTTTCTGCTCCCGGAAAGATTTACAGCCTCAGAAAACCCTGGGAATCACTTCTTTTCTAACCTATAGGGCCCCTGTGAGTCGGTGGCACTGGGGGGAGGTATCTGCTTGGGCTTTGTGTGTGTGTGTTTGTGTGAAAGTTGACAGAGCAAATTAGTTTTCTGTCCAACAGTTCATACACAGTTTGCTTCCTAACATTTGTTGTAATTTCCTCAGTGTAACCACGCTCTTCCCGCTTTCCATTCCTCTTTCTTTCCTGACCCTTCCTGCTTTCTGAGCTTTGGGTTTGGACTTGCTGCCCTTTGGGTCTCCTATGGCTGGTGATTTCCTCTCTGCTGTTCTTGTTCACTTTATAGGCCTGTCCAGTGTTTGACTGAAAGTAATCTCCACGAGTGGATTCAGTTCATGGTTCGAAGAGTGTCTGAGGACCACAGTCTCAGACTTCCTCCATGTCTGTCAGACCAGCCAGTCTGGTCTTTTCTATGATTTTGAATTTTGTTTGACCTTTTTCTCCTCTTCTGTTCAGGACCTTCTTTGTTCCAGATTAGCCTGGTCAGTAGCGGTAACCGGGCACCATCTAGTTGTCTGGTCTCAGGGCAGCTAGTGGAGGGAGGAGGCTGAGGGCTCAGTGTTCCATTAGCCCTGTGGTCTAATTGTTTCCTTGAGTCTTAGGCTTTCCTTCTCTGTTCTTTCCTCTGGATGGGTCGAGACCAGTAGTTGCATCTTAGGTGGAAGACCTTATCCCTTCTCACCACAGGCAGAAGTAGAACATTGTCTTTGTGAACGATGTTATGCCTGCTGACTTAGCTGTCCCCCCACGCTGTGGTCCTCAGCCCCCAAGCCCAGTGACTGATTCACTCAAGGTGTTTGGTTATGGCTGAGAAGTTTCTATAACTTTGCCCACTATTTGCTGTACTACATGCAAGGATCTATTTATAGCAGTGCAAATACAATATGGGAATGTCCTCTGCCAGAGGTATGTATGGTCCTGGTGTGTCGCTGCTGGTTAATGCGCTGGACTGCAAGGTCGGTTTGAACCACAAGGTTGGAGGTTCAAGTTCATGAGTTGCTCCTCAGAAACCCTACACGGGGTCTTTATGAGTTAGGGTCGATTCAACAACACTTAGCAACAACAACAGAGATATGTATGGTCCTGGATATGGTCGCCATCTTGTTAATATTGAGTTGGTGGAGACTCGAGGTGCCTTGTGTATAACCAACAGAAACGCTGTCTGGTCCTATAAGACCCATCTTACTTTTGAGAGGCTCAGGCTTAGCATAGGAGCCTGGGGAGGCTGCTGGCTTGCAGGTACACGTTCCGAGGTAGGCTCTTGGCGCAGATGCACATCTGTTCTCAGACAGCATCTTACCTCTTCTACAGAAGGGAAGCTGAGCCCCAGAGAAGGATGGGGCAGCCCAGGTTCACTCAGTTAATGTTCCTGGTCCATGTCCTGGGACCTCCCTCAGGGCAGGACTTCCTGTTTATCCTCTTAGTCATCTGTTGTAGCTCATGGTGACCCCAAGTGACATCGAGTTCATTTTAAAAACAAGATCCAATTTACTCTTCTGTACAGAAGTTTTAGAACCCGTTCAACTATGGTTTGGGTGCTGGGTTTGCCTTTTGCTTGCTGTAAGGCCCTGAGCAGATGCCTTGGTCTCTGCCAGCTTGGTTTCCTCATCTGTACGGAGTTGTGGGAGCAGCTTTCAATGAGATGACTGGCCTACAGTCCAGCTCCCGTCCCAGGATATGGGTGCTCTTGGGCCTGGTTGGGAGGAAGGGGACCATGGGCTGGCTGGGGGCTGCCCTGGTGTGGGACCCTGCCATGCTAGTGTCAGGACACTACACTGTGATTGTCAGGCCTAGAGCAGGATCCCAGACTCCATGGCTTTTGTTCAAAGTTCTGGGCACAGGCACATTCTTGTCACTGGTCTCTGGGCCAGGACCCAGCTCCAGATGGCCTCTGGGGGTGGGGTTGGGCGTGGCCTCCAGGATCAGCCCAGTGCATCACGTGGGGGGGTGCAGCTGCAAGGCCCAGGTTCCCTTCAAGCCCTCACCACCCACCTCAGCAATTTTAGGAGCTAGCCAAGGGGTGGGGGCCAGCTTCTTTAAGTGTCTTGAGTTGGCTACTCAGGGTCCAACGAAAGCTAGCCTGCACCACACTCTGCCACTCACCAGCTGTGCACCCCTGGGCACTTCTAGAGTATTGAAAAGGGTGGGGAAACAGTGCTCCCCAAGTACGTGGTTGTGGGAGTGAGCGTTTGGGGAATGTGCCAGGCCTCTGGTAACCCGCTCCATCCGCTGCCATCGTCAGTTCCAACTCACAGTGACTGACACTAGGCCGGAGGTGTGTTCCACAGGGCTCCCGAGACTGTGAATCTTTACGGGACCGGATCACCTCATCTTTCTCCCTCAAAGCATCTGGTGGGTTTGAACAGCCTGCCTTGTGGTTAGTAGTCCAAGTGCTTGACCTGCAGTGCCACCAGGGCTCAGGCGTCTCGTAAGTGGGGTGGCTAAAGTTCCCATTGTATTTGCTCCAGCAAGACCGTGTGTCCATGTGTCTGTGTGGGTGTCTGGAGTGACACCTTCTCCCACCCAGAACTTTCTAAGGTCTTTGCCTCACTACAGCTAGCCAGGCCTTTGTCTGTGTCCAAGTTTCCTTTACAGACTAGCTAGCCCCACACAAGGCCAGCTTTCTAATTGGTGGGCCACATTCTGTTCCTGAAACCCAGGACGACCTGCACGTGATGTCCCTCTCCGGCAATCCTAGACAGCCTTTCCCTTAGACACAACCCCCTCCGTGGCTGGGGTTGGAACCCCTGGCTGAGCTCCCCATCCTCAGCACCTGTCCTGGGACTTTTCTCTGAGTCAGAATGATCTTTGGTTGCGTCTCTGACTCAGGGCTGTCTTAGTGGCCCAGGGCTCAGGATGTGGCTGATGGCAGAATGAATGAGAAACTAGGGAACTGCGTGGAGAACGAAGCAGGGACTAAGTTTCATGTCCTGGCTGTGCTCCCTCCAGCTGTGTGACTTTAGGAAGGTTACTTAACCTTTCTGAACCTCAGCTCAGAGGTGGTGTTAAATGAGATT